AATTAGTTTGTTAGCTATACATGTTGAGTGAGTCCATAACAGACAGGAAAGATCCAAGAATAAACTCATCAAAAAGTCCATTCCCGAAAGTTTTAGTTAAAACCAATGCTACATTTAACCCTGTACAATACATAAATGACTTAATATTGGTTGACCTTGGGTAACCATCACCTAGGAATTATTCACAACAAAAGAGACACCTCAATCTTGAGTGCACGTGTTGTTTTAGAATGATCACACTTTTTAGTCTAGCGTTAATGTTTTCGCGACCTTCAAGACCATAAATTACTCACAGGTGCAATTGTCACCCGCCTCTACTGATGAAGTCTTCGAGCTTACATACATGTGTCAACAAACAGTTGTAAAGAAACTTCCCTTCTTGCTTAGTTTAATTACCTACTGGGACGATATATAAAGTGACTGTCTTACAAGTGAAGTTTTTTGCCAAACTTCCCTATGAAAATAAGGTCCCAGTAATCTAACTTATACTTGGTAGGACGGGTGGAAGAAATGGAAATGCTTACAGATTATGATCAAGCGGCTAATATAATTCCACTTAACCAATTAACTATCAGTGAAAATCTCTCTTGACCTTAGGGTGTTGTGATAAACAGTCGAACGCCCAGTTATCAGCCTTGTTGAGCAGGTATGAAATCAGAAGATAGTATCGATGGGGTTATGTGTTATTTAACTAACGTCACAAAGTCAGTGAAAAATCTACGAAGCTGGTATTATGCCTCACAGTAAAGACAGGGTAGCTGAAACTACCACATGCTTAATTGTATCACTGCTGGTCAGTTTAAATAAACAAGTACATTTTATATACCTCTTTAGTAACGCTTTAAACAAACTCTCTGATCTATATTAGCGTTTAGATTATAGCAACACCAGGGTCAAGTGCTATATAGTGCCGATGAAAAAGGACTCCTGGTTAGACATGAATGCACAACGGAATTGAGCATGACTTATTCTAGCTCAAATACGATGGTTGGTGAAGTTACGCGGGGTATAGTCTTAGATCCAGGGTTACTTACTTTTTCCGTCAATGACTTCCCTGATCTTTTATTACCGCCAGATATTAATGAACATCTAGGATGCCATGATACATAAAGTGATAAAAGGCGGAAAGGAAGTCACAGAGGTTCTGAAAGTTCTAAGTAAACTAGCAGAAGTTTTCGATACTTGGTAATTGTAAATTATTGTTTTCACGTGCATTATGGTTCAGATTGTCCACGAAGGGACGAATAAATTCATATTGAATGGTATGAGGATATTGTGGTGTTTTAATTAACCAATGATTCCTTTGTATTGATGTCTGTTTTGATTTTGAATTCTCAATACAGTACATTCGTTCGTGCTCATCTATTACTTCTTGATTAAATTGCGTTATTGCTGGGATTACCAGTCTATACTATAATTCAAATACTTCTGAACATCACATTAGCGTCACGATGGAGCCTAAGATGGAACGGTTGGACATACATTCAGATTTTAATGCTTTTGAGGATTATATGGAGAGGTTTGAAATCTGGGCTGAGGATTTTGATATTGTGGCCCATTTCCTTACATTCATTAGAAAAGAAGCATACAGCTTAATAAAGACTATGGCACTTCCAGACAAACGGATTTCACTCCCTTATGCAACTATCAAGCAACTACTAATGGACTATGTAAAGTAAGGGAGAAAAATTCAGTGAAAGGATTCTCCAGAACATCAGGAATTCCACTACTTTACTACGTCATCGCAGTCGAATACATATTCAAGAGTATTCAAATAACAATTCATTAAATTGTGAAACAGTTCACGAAGATGAGCACAAGTTTGGTAAATGTTTGTTTTACGGCAAGTTTCACCCGTGAAATTCATGTGTATTTCGTAATTCTAAATGATTTAAATGTGGTAAAACTGGACAAATTCAGTCGTTTTGTAATACCATGATTAATTTCGCTGAAAGTAATGCTAAGGTGGATGTTTCTAATGATCACCTATATTTATTTAAAACTTCTAGAAGCGGTATAACGTCACATAGCAGTCCAGAGTTGAATGAAACCCAAAATCATTGTGAGACAAAAATTTCTAATCAATCAACTTCTTCTTGTCATAATGATCCACATATTTCTGATGAAATTTCAAACAACTCTGAGAATTAAATGTTGAATTAGTAAAATCATGATCAAAAACCAGATTCAGTTTTGCTAGATGCTGATTTTTCTAATGATCCACCATTCTCTAGTGAAACTCCGAATAAATTTGAGGGAAATATTTCAGAAAAATCAAATTCTGATACCATATCAAGAGTCAGTGATCCTCACAATGAATTTATCTCTAGTGATATTCCTAATGAAGGTGACAAATATGTTCCTAATGAGTCGAATTATAGTCACGTTTCTGATGTTATTTTATCAAATGTTGGATATTCTCACGAACAATGTTTGTTGAGTAGAAATTCCAGTCAGTGGTATGATGGATCAGAGGGAATAGCAAGTTTTCCTGAAGCAATCAGAGAACCAGTTTGCCAAGGCAGAAAATCAAAATCAATCCAAGATTATCCTAATGAGTATGAGACAGTTGCATGTTTTCTATTCGATTGTTTCTCAGGTGAATCAAGCCTAGATGAATCACATGCTTTAATTACATATATCAATGCATATCTGTCTGTTTATTTGTTATACCTTGTGCTTGAGTGCGTGCCCTGTTTAGTATACGAACGCCCAATTAGAAAGCAGTGAATTTATTGATCGCCCAATGATACATAAAGGCCGTGTGATCAATCTTGAGTACTACTTGGTCCTGCTATCTGCATAGCCCAGCCAGTTAAGTCCAGAGCACCAATAACAGCCTCTGTAATATGAATCATTATTCACAAACATACTGTCTTTAAACACCAATCAAACAGATCACATCGTACCATAAGATAGAAAGTAACATATGTACAAGATTTCGTCAAATGTGGCTGTGAATAGGGGGAACATTTATCAATAGACTGGGGATAACCCAGGAATGGTAAATCGGATAATAACAGTCTATGGGTCGAAATAAAGCTCATAATAGAGGGGGACGCGAATATGAATAGTCTAGTTACTTAACAAATATGCAATAGGAAATATACATTTCATATTGGTCCATAGATAGTTCTCAAAGTTACCATCCATAATTCTCCACGGGATTCAGCAGTATTCAAATATGAATAACAAAAAGAATATTTATCATATTTTTTATGCAACTCAAAGTCACATGATGGAATGCCTTAAATTACGTGTCAGTGTTTACCTCCAGATACTCACATATAATTATCGAAGCATCAGATTTGAGAAGATAATCCGAATTGGGAATGTCATATTGGTCATAACATTGAGACGTAAGGACTCAACACTATTTCGTAAGGGAGGATAGTGTTGGAAAGTCTATGGTGCAAATTCTCAATATCAGTGGTTTCACTACACAACCGACATGATGATTGTATACAATTTCAGGACCCAAGTGAGTCTGTTCCAATCTCGGTTGTTAATTCTAATACTAACGAGTTCATTCTAGATGATACAGAGTCTACATCCACTACACTGTCGGACAGACGTAAGATGAACTTAAGAAGACGTAGAATCGATTACGGACACTTACACTCCAATTTGAATGAACCAATGATTCCTTTGTATTGGTGACTGTTTTGATTTTGAATTCTCAATACAGTACTTTCGTTCGTGCTCATCTATTACTTCTTGATTAAATTGCGTTATTGCTGGGATTACTAGTCTATACTATAATTCAAATACTTCAAAACATCACAGATATACACTGAACAGGCATGATAACAAACAACTGTGATAAGTTGCAGATTTTCATCAGTCAAGAAAAAGAAGTCGAGATACACATTTAAATAATGGCTGGGATGTATGTAAGAACATCTGCCTGAGGAGACTGGGAGATGTCTGTAACATCACATAAACTAGGTGTAAGCTTAAAATCTGTGTGCTGCGTTCAGACGGCTGGTATCTGTCTAGAACAATTTAGACTGCAAAAACGGTATAGTGAACAGAGAAAATAGAATCTCCAAATGTCTACATTGCTATCTATTGCTTCAACTAAGAAGTCCCCGCTGTCATCACCGCCGCAAATCATTTATGATGGTTGTACATCTGGAAAAACATTCAAGCGCATTAATGGCCATTTCGACGGTAGAAATTTCTACTTAAACTTCATCAGTTTTATTCGACCTCAATTGAAGTATGGAAACATAATGATTCACCCTTACTCCAAAGGAAGAAGGATACATTTGAACGTGTTCAATGGCGAACCACAAAGTCAGTTCGGGTACACTGAGCAAAACCGCAAGTAAAAAGATCTTCTAATGTCTTATATCATCTTAAACACCTTTAGGTGTTCCCTTAAATATCTGCCTAAACTCAGTCCCAACGCTAAACTTGGAGGCAACACCTAAAAAATAATGACACGACATAAGAGAAAGGACTTTAGACACACCTTTTATTCCTTACGGTTTGTCAAATTCTGGAATTCGCTGCCGGTTGAGCTAGTCCAAGCGACTTCTCCGAAGTCCTTTAAAATAGGATTTGACATACTCTCAACGAATAAGGACAGTCTCTCACTATAATTCTTTGACAACTTTTTTTATACCAGTAAATATACCTTAGTTCTTACCTGACGGCATCGGTGGTCCAATGTTAACAAATCCGAAAGCCCGTTAGGCAAAGGCTTCTTCTATTCTGTCCAGAACCGAGATCTGTCTGGACGGTATGCAGGTATAAGCCGACGGACCGGAATCGCTGTGGTTTGAACAAAATTTGAAGCCTTCTACATGAAAATAACTGGGACTAGATCTTTGAAATAGTAAGGCTGTGTGTATGGTGTGCGGAATCAGAGGGATGAGAAACAACTGATTGTAGATAATGGCAGAATTCTTTTCAATTCGAGTCTTTCAAAAGAAGTCTCAAATGATTATCGCTAAAGAAGTCAAAATCACCACTAAGCTTACTAAATTTTGGACATTTGGCGCTGAATTTGGTTGGCCCATCAATGCGCGTTATTTGTTTTGACTACGGAATTTGTATATTTTGCTTTTGTTAGTTAGATGGTAATCTATGAACCTTTGAACCACATTTTGAAGGAGGTGGTCTGCTTGTAAGTATATTCATATGAATGTGTGAAAACTTATGATTTTTATTTCGGAATGTTTTTGAATTAGTATGATGTTTACTTTGAAGATGCCATTTGTATCAACACTGACTTACCCGCGTGTATGACTCGTAATAAGTGTGTATCCTCTGTTTAAAACTGAGTTTTCTGCCCTGGCACCCGAAGGTTATCAAGCTTTACCCATCGACTATTGTACGGCTGCTTTTCATATTCTGCATTAGTGAACATCGAAATTGATTAATGTAGAACTGAAAACTTTGCCCATTTCTTTACTCAGGTTTTACCATTGTCATTCTTGACTGATATTCGAAGTTGCAAAAGTTGCTTAGTTTCGGAGTATGACTCTGCTTTTCTTACTTTATCGTCTCTTAAACCTGGTAGGTTTAAGTTTGCATATGCAACTTAGGCATTTTAGCGGTATCCTCAAAACAGTTTGACTTATCGGGAGCTCGGTAGCAAGACGAAAAATTGATTGCCGTGGTGTAGAGGCATTCACGAATCATAATCCGAGTCTCATTTATTTTACTACTGTTCTTGTCTTCACAGTTCGTTTGACTTTGCCTTGGCATGGGGTTTTGGGCAACTTCGTCCTAATAACTTTGGTGCATGATTGTTTCTGTTACAGTTGGAATGTATGCCTTTTATATTTTCTCAATCAGTGTTGAGTATGAATTGGCAAGTTACGTTTACTCTAATTATCTTTCCATCACAAAGTCACCAGCCTTCCAGAAGTAATAGTTCTATTCCTCTAATTACCCCTTTTTATTTTGTTTTTTTTAGCACATTATGAGCAGTGTTCGGCCGATCTCTTTCACAGCTGCTAAATTGCTATGGGACCCAGAACTAAATCCATCTTGTCGAACTCCTTTATATCGAGTTGATGGCATTGTAGAGGGGGTAAGCTCGATCTTTAAAATAATTATGCTTTAAAGCGAAACGAACCAGACCCAGATCCAGTGGTTGATCCTAGACGCCCTTTGCACTTTAGAAATTTTTGCAAGAAAACGATTGTTGATCTCCCGATCCCGAGTTTCAAGGTATTTCGCAATTTACTTTAGGAGCAATATGTGACAGATCGATTTATATTACGTGGGTGAAAAACCAGAAAAAGAGGTCACTTTCTCAAATCTTAATGATAACATCACATTTAAGAACCTAGAAGACATGTGTCGTAAATTCGGTACGATTATAGAAGCGAAAATATACTATCATCCAAAATCACAATGTCACCTTGGTATCGGAACCGTACGTTAGAATTGGATTTGCTATTAAACTTTTCAGGTTGTATTTACATCTTCTAAAAGTGCAAGAGCATGTGTGGAACATCTTAACCAGACATCAAAGATGGGGAATATAATGACCGTGCAAGTGGATCCTTTTGGTAAAAATGATTTGCTCCCATTAATCTCACTTTAGGTAAAATTAGAATCCGGTTGATTGCTGAACAAATGGCTGATCTTCTGCCTTCAAACTCTTGTGGTCAATTCCAACTCCCAGAAAAATCTTTTGCTAATCAGATACACAGCCACATACCTTCTGATTTCTCATCACAAGGTTCCTCGAATTGTGAAGTTAGTTCACACAATCCCACTCCACGTCAGTCCCATACGTCCTCAAATCTTAGCGATCACAAAGCGGTCGAAACTTTGCCACAACCGCATTGCATGACAACTTTCAAATCTCACTTGTTTTTCAAAGCATCTGATAAGCAAGAATCGGACTTAAAAACACATTTACGTCCTGACAAGTCGGCATGTGTTCTGAACGACGGTGATATTTCAGAAATATCCTGTGCCGCGACCCACTGGCATCGAGAAGCTTCGTCTAATTTAAATATTGACAAAAGTACTTCAGGTGTTTTAGCAGACCAACATACATTGGGACTTGAAGCCAATACATGTGTTTCTAAAAAGCTTTCTAGCCAACAAGATGATGCAAAACTTCATGAATCCCGTTATTGCGAAGAATCTCTTGAAGCTCGCATACAAAAATTGCTTAAACTGAATTGTGTGAAACCAGTTCCCGAGTTAAAGGATACTCAAAATACCCCAGTGGTTTCAGATAGTAACTCGAAGGTCACTTGCAATCTTCCAGTCTCTTCAGAAGCATGTATTTCGACCAATGTACGTATCAAGTCGGATGATTTAAAACGGTTTGAAAGCCCTTCAAATCAAGTGATTCAGAAGGGAAACACGCATTTTGATTCAACGAAAAATACACGAGTAGTAACAAGCCCGTCATCCAACCGTCGCACTCTTTTACCTACTCCTGATGGATCAATTGAGAATACCAAGACTTCTTTGTTCAACTTTCATCGTCCGCCTCTCTTAAAAACTCCTTATAAACCAGTGGATGTTCAAGAAGTAATAAGAATAATCGATGACGTTCATATGGTTTTTGTGGATGAGTTGCGAGGAATCATACATCGGGATATAACCCGAAAGCTTGTTGAAGGTCAGGCATTTAAATTATTTTCCGATTGGTGGGATTCAAAAGGACAAGACTGCAAAGTAAGTATATTATATTGTCGTCATCAGACTTAGAGATATCATTATCAACTAGTAATAGCTAGTTATTGAAGCAACCGACAAAAGTGATCTAGACCTTTGCAAATTGAGGTAAAATTTATACAAACTAGGTTTTTGTCAGTTAACCATTAAAATTGTTATACTCAGAGTAAAGTTCTATGCAACGGGAATAGGTTGTGCCTTAAGCCAGTGGGTTAGCGGCTGAACCCTGTTTTCAGTTGTTTGGTTACGGGTTGGGACCCTATTTTATCTATTTTGGTTTGGGCAGTTTAGTAACATCATTAACTTTCACTTATAGTGTGACGTGAAACCTAGTATGTAATTCGCACTTGGTAAATAAGCTATAGCTTAGTGGAAATTTAAATTTCATCCTAATTAGTCTATGTCAGAATTGTGACAATCAGGTCGACTTCGTGGATCATAACTTTTCGTTTTCCGTCTACAACTATTTATGAAATCTGTATGCGTACAAACTTTATCTGGTAATTGATTAATTTCGTTTATTTACTTTTGTTTCGATAGCAAAATCATGCCAGTAGTCATCACAATACTAAAGAGGAGAGTGTGAGTAGTCATTCTGTAGACCATCCAAATACATCTCATGATTCTACCGTTCCATCATATCAAAACCAAAGTGTTAGTGCGAACATGTCTAATTCCTCATTTGCTCCTACTTCAGTTTCTTCTAGTATTCCTGTGTCAACCATGTCTGACAGTAACTCCGTATCTTCGAACTTTAAACTTTTTGGTTTGGGTATGTTTACAACCTTAAGATCTGCTTTACCAAAAATTAAACGCAAACCTCGTCTACCAAGTCCTGGACCCATACCTTTAAACATAGTAGCTTCCACGTCAAAGACTGAGTCTCTTACTATCTGTCAAGATGAACAAAATGTAAATTTTAGGAGTAAAACTGACTTAAGGCTAGAAGGATCACCTGTTTGGAAAAATCGTGGTTCTCTAATGCAAAAAGCAAGTAACACATCAAGTTCAGACGAGAATAATGGTGAAGTTAATATTCGTGGTAAAATCTCTGAATCTTCAGGTAATCTTTTTGTTTGTATATGCTCTCACCTTATTATTGATTACTAGTTGATAAACTGCTTTTTTTGGAAAATGTCGAATTATATCAGGTATAAACTTATGTAATGATTAATGTTAACATAACCCATCTAATAAGTACGGGTTTCTATGCACACTGTTTATGGTAATACCCATTTGCCCAAACTGGTGTATGTGGAACAGGATACAAATTCGTGACATAATAATTGAGACGTAAGCGTTTTAACCACCGAAATACTGCTCTCAATCATTGATCTATCGAATTTCAATCATTTGGTTGCAAGTTTAGATCTTCCAATACCCATTTTGGTTTGTTTAACTAAGTACGTTCTCTAGGCTTCATAAAAAATAAAATATGTGGACAAACGCCCAGTACATAAGCGTGTATTCGGTAAGAGAATTGTGTTGGTGATCGTTTATGTCCATCATACAGCACAGTACTAAATCAGAAAGCTAGCATATCTGGCGACAGAAATGTCTGTTTGATATATTTTAAATTCACAGAGTATTTTTATTTTGGGGTTGTCAGAAAATTTAGTCAGTCGTCTGTTTTAATGATTATGGTACAGTTGCTGAAATCCCTTTGAAATTATGTGTTAGAATAAGTAGATTTGAAGAAAAACTGTCTAATTTTTTTTAAACTCCTAGTCGTTTATTCCCATAGTCATTAATTTATATTAACCGTGTATACTGCGCCGCAGTATAGTCTGTTTTTATTAAGGGCTGTGAATTGGGAAACACGTTGGCTGCAGTTTTTTGATTATGAGTGTCTACAAAAGCATTTCCTGCGTTTCGTGGGACAATCAAATGAATAATAATGAATTCAAGCCTGGGGTATTAGGTATTTATTAATTTATTTTAACACAAATATGGGTACAAATGGGCACCAGATATATATGCGCCGCACAAATCTTATTTGATTTGTGTGAGGGCTGTGATACTGCTCGGGTGTCCAAACCGAAGCAGGTGGTTTTCTTAGGGAGCCATACCCGGAGTCTTTGACCTAAAGATTTGATCCACAAGGCAGTGGAGCATCGTAAGAAGGTCCAGCCCCATGGTAGCCGGTGACCAACGATTAATTCATATGCCATTTGTTCCCTCAGGATATTTGAGCCCATGTGCACCATTGGTTTGGAATCAGGGTTTTCCAGCTCCCTAGGTGGACTTTCCGTGTCCACCAACCCGGTTAAAACGCCGTACATTCGCTTTTCGTCCTCTCAGTTTCGTAAACAACACCCTGGTGCGAGAAGGCAGTGAGTAGGACTTCTGTGGCAGAGGCTATATATTCGCGTGGTCATGTGAGAGCTTTTCGAGAGAGAGAGCTGACTCTCCCCACTCTCGCCCGTACCAGGGCATTTGGTGGGGGCTGGGATATAAGGCAGAGGTGGCGAATCTGTTGACCAGTTTGTAAATCTTCACTGACTGCAGTAGTTAAGACATGTGTTACGTATGTCTAACCACCGTCAACCTCGACAGGGGATGCTTGCTGGCATAAAGGCAGGCTAGAAGGAAGCTAGGAATGTCTTAATCACAACATAATATTAGTCTCTGAAGTCACTGATTACCTAGTTGAGGTCCACGAGATAACCGCAATCATTGGTTTGAGATTTTAAGCTATATAGCTCAGACTCGTTCACAACGGTGTGGACGCACTCTTTATCTTCTCGATCTCGAATTTCAGTATTCCTTGTTACATACCTTTGTACTCTGCCCCTTGTAAACAAATTCCAATTTCGCACTTTTGGCAAATGTGTATTTCAGGTAGTGAAAGTTCCATGGAACAAACAGATCAAATAACTAGTGATCGTGTACGAAACCGTTGCAGCTCAAAAGAACATCAGGATAAGCATAGATATCATCACGTTAGAAAACGCTCTGGAACTTCAAGGTTAAATGACAAGTATGAATATGCTCGGTCACAGTCTAAATTTCCTTCAAAATCAAGTCATTTTTCTGAAAATATTCGTACAAGCGATTATACTTCATCGGATAATGATAGTGAACACATTTCTCCTTCAAAATCCCTTCAGCATATTAAGTCCCGTAGGGAACATGCGCGTGTTTCAGATGTATTTTCAAAAAGGTATATTTCCATTATTAAAAACCCATTTTTCACTGTAAATGTCTTGAATATTTTTTTATCTAACACATAACTTACGGTACTAAAAAACCTGTTAGCCTTTGATGAACCTAATTTCTACAACAGTGCGGACGGGATTTGTTTATATGATTGTTAATAAATTCGAAATCTATATTGTTTGATTGCTGAACATTAACCTCAGTTTTTTCATAGTAACCAGATTGTGTATCTTGATAGACAGTAGTCTGTTCATCTGAAAAATACTACCGTGACTTTTAAGTTGAAGTACAAAAGTATGTAAATGTTCTTGTGTTAACTCCCGAATTTCATCAGTTACTATAATAAACAAAAGAATTTATTGAACTATCAATATGAGTATATAATCTGTTGTAATTTCTTTGAACTAATTGGCGATATTATTGTAACTTGGTACAAACTACATAGATCATGTTTAAGGATTCTAATAGGAAATATGTACTAAAATGATTTAAAGTCATTCCTAGATAAATAAACGTACAGCTACCAGTTAGATTAAGTTATAGACAGACTAAAAAATCTACCTCAACATCGTGCCGGTCCACGACTTACTGTATAGAAGCCAAAGACATCATTACAGATATGTTGTTTATTTTCTATTGACCTAAATAGAATCAAGTTTGCATTAATTGAATTATTCCTCTAGTCTTATTGTACAATGGAGAGTTCAGCGTTTTAGCAACTGGTAGCAAATTTATAACCTAATGATTTTTTCACACGCTATGTTTCATTTTTTAACGATGACTAGGACCATCTCTTAATTCCATAGTGATAGAACATTTTTGCTTTGTAGCAGTCAAACAAACTTCCTGATCGGAAAATCTCATCCATCTTTTCAGAGGGCAAAGTCGGCTATTTAGAATAGGCGAATTATTACATTTTGGAAGTTGGGGTTTTATCAAAATGTTCACTTTCGATGGATTGCCAGTGTTTTGTTATCTCAGTTAACTTATAAAAATACTATTATGACTGCAGTAGTCCTACTGATCACTTCGACCGCATTATTGAACCCAAAATTCTGACTCAAAAGTTTAGGAAAATTAAAAACAGTTCAGTTGACTGGATACATGTGAAGCAGTGAGGGGTCCTCAGTTATTTTCACATCTATCGATTGCACTTGATTAGAGTTATTCAGTTGTTGACAGGACGCATCCTTGATTGTTGCTGGGTTATGATCCGTTGAATTATAAGCAATGATAACGATAAGACATCGTATTGGATGCTGATTTATATTCTGGTCTAACCTAACTCCTGTTAGTCAGCTGTTAACGAGAACCTAACCGATTAGAAATACCTTAACTCTGGTAATTCGTACGAAATCGATACAAATCGTTTTGGTCCAAATGATGAATACAGTTCACACCAGCTCCATACATGTGTATTGTCGTTACATAAGAGAAACCACTTCATTTAAAAAAGAGCTTACACTCTGGTATCCAGAAAAAATCACAGTGCTTTGTTGCTGACGGTAATATTGAAAACAAGTAGAGGCTTCACAAACTAGGATTATGTAGAATGGTCGATGTTTTCTTGTGCAGGAGTAGGTTAAAAGAAAGCTAGGGGCGTCCAAGCCAAGATATGGCATTCGTCTATGCAGTCAGTGACAATTGGTCTTAGCCTTGCTAAAATTTATAGACTACCTGACTTTGGGGGGTTCACGTGAATATCGTAACCAATAGTTAGAGACTTTGGATGACATGGCTCATAATCGTTTGCAGTGGCGCAGGTAAATCCATTCTTTGTTTTCCCCCAAATTTTGAGATCTTAAATTCCCCTATAAATTTGTTCTGTTTTTATCTCGCTGATTTATATTTTCTTTTCTAGTCGTATCTTCTATGCCTAATCTATTCTATTACTATTGATGCTGTTAATACTCCTACTATGCAGGGGTTTGACCTGACATCTCTGTACTAATGGGGTGTGGCAACTTGAACCGACGTACATACTTACAGGCTTTATGTTGTTACTGACTGACTGATTATGTAGGAAATTCATTGATATCATAGAATATAAAACAATACGAAATTCGGATAAAGTAATAGATGGCTGAAGCTTGCTGTGCATTGAACTGGATTCTTTGCGTTTCTTGTACACATTTGTAGCTGACGATGCTCCATCACACTCGGAAATCAGCGAAACATTTTTCTTCAAAGAGCTGCTGTACGTTTGCGTTGTTTTCCACCAATATTGGATGTAGTACCTAAATCATGTTGAAGTGTCAAATTCAAAATGTTGATCTAATACATCGAGATCCATTATGGATCTAAAAATAAGAAAATACAAAATGATATTTGTAAGAGACATTAACCTCCTCTGTCTATTTTATATGCTAAATACTAAATAATCCACTTAAAAGTGGATAACCAGGTTCATGAATCTAAAATATCATTGACTTTGGTTTCACAACAAAAACTCTAGAGAAAAGCAAAATCACTCTACTCAGTATTAAATTTACAATAGGGTCAGTTTTATTGCAAAACTGCTTGTTTAGGATGCAACAAACAGGCATCGACAGAAAAATTGCTCAATAAGTTATAGCATGACAAATATGGAATCATCCTTTCCACTGTTAACAAAGTGACCTAATTTCAATGCCCACTTTTTATCCTTCTAGCTCTGTTCGGAATACTTTACTCTTCCGCTACCACATTACTGCTACTTCTACTACTTTAGTACATATCGTGATAATTTCATCTCTCTGTGCTGATGTAGTGTAGCGACTTGAACCGATGTACATTTGTATTAGGCTCTACACTGATTATAGGTGTTGACTGACTATCTGGGACTCTGTATGACTCAGATTAGTAATTATGGCTCGAAAAATTTAATTTGTCACAATCTCGCTAACTCATCTATGTTTTTACACAACACTAAGCTTGATCCTAAAATTGCTTACCAGATAATTCTTGCGAACTCCAGCAGCTCACTGAAGATAATTGTGTTAGGACATATAAAATTCTCATGTTTCATTGTAACAACCATGCTTTAGTTCTAGATTCACAAATATTGGACAAGTTTACAGCTTCATTTACATTTGAAAAGCACTTGGGTATCCTCACCTTACCGTTAATATTGTAGGTTTCAAAATGCTAGTTGTTTTATCTGCATGTCCAAGTTCATTTTGATTCAATAAGTTTCTGTCATGAACTAACAGAAGCTGAAAACTCTTCAAAAGCTAGTTTGGGACTTCTTACCCACAACCCTATCTTCAGTAACCAATCTTTTAGATTTATAATCCTCACTATCTCTGGAGCATAATGCATAACAAATTTTCGACATTATTATATATTTAACAAACTTTATATCGTGTCATTTTCTTTTCAGTGTACTTGTAGTTTTTTGGAGGATATCTTGGCGAAAGCCCTGTCTAAAAATTTGGAAAAAGGGAATCCTAAAGATAAATCCGCGAGAAGAAGCTAACAGCAAAACATCATCTATATAAATCTACTTAAACATTACTTAGCATCAGGCATTCATACCTTAGGGGGTGTTTGAGTAAATACCATCTTGTGACGTAATTTAATCGTTTCGTACTTTCAAACGAAGAACGTCGAGATAAATCATCGGTTATCAGAAGTAATCGCTGTTTTATAGCTTTACAGACCGTGGTTGTAGTTGTTAACCCCAAGTTTACCTGTTTCTCCTAGTTCTACCTCCTCCGAATCTTAATCATTTCTCGACTTTAAGTACAACGTTCTTTAGTCTCTATTGCTCGAAACTATTGGGATGCATTTATACCTAATTCACGTCGCTCAGCAAAATTAAATTAATCATAACTGTCAAGTTTCAGTCTCTTACAACTTTTATTATTACTCTTCTTTCTCCTTTCTCAGTATTGGGATAGTGTTCTCGACTTTGGTCTCAGTTTTTATCTGTAGTGGTCCTTAAAGTCAGTCTGTCTGAAGACGGTTTTAAGTGAATCTTAATAACTGTCTACTATTAAATATCGCTAATACATGTCGCTCATATTAATTTAGTAATAGTTTGCACCATTTGCAGTTATAACCTCGTCTCTTCATCGTGTTTGAACTATTCTTACCTAAAATCAGTTTTTTTTTCGGGACAAACGACTAACATATGTCATATCATATCTTCACTTGTGTACAGACGTCTACCTCTGTACGTTCACTGAAATATATTCGACATCAGGATACATTAGGTCACGTTTAGCTGCCATACTTGGACGACCGTCAAAGTAGCTTTTTTAGATACGTATGCGCGTTATTTTCTTATAAATCTGGTGAAAAACGTAGTAAAGTAGATAATTTTATAAGATTCAGTACTGTGAAACAATTAATTTAAAAATTACGATTAATATTGTTGTTCGCTCATCAGCAATGTAAGTTACGATATACAGTCTACCACCTTCTACTAAATGAACTATTTTACCCAATACAAAAGTGAATTACTATTTCAATAAATTTGCATCTTGTTTAATAGACTTTACCTCCATATATATGAAAAACAGTTTTATTTTCGTCTCTTCGTTTCAGCGATTCGAAAAGTCCTGTTGGATCGAGTTTACCATCTGATACTGAAAGTTCAGATCTATCAACTGAACCACAAAATAACCCCGATGAAGCTCGAAGATTTACAAAACCTTCACCAGATGAACTTTCTGAGATTTCAGATTTTAAAACAGACTCCCCTAATCGTTGTCGTTTATCACTTTTAGAAACATCACAGTTTGAATCTACGCAGAACAGAAATTCCAATGATTCACTTTCTTCACCTATTTCTTCACAACCAGAGGTAATGATTTTGTAAATGCCTAAATTGTAACTTGTCGGCCAAGTCATATACTGTGTGTACATTTACTCTGAATGTTTACCTTCCAGTGTTGTGTACAGTGTTTATTTTTAAGTCTTTCATTATGATTATGTTACGGTTGATTGGTGTTATTTTAGTGAAAATAAAGAAAATCACTTGCTATTATTAGATCTATCCACTTGACATTTGTCACTGTTCAATGATTTAGGTTAGTTATCTTACATCATCCCGTGCCTCTTAATATAAGTGTTCTCAATCTTCATGAATTAGATTTATTTTTCGTTCTAGCATCAGAGTCTGTACATGTTGCTAAGTTTGATTCCGAAAATAACTTATATCAAGGGTTGATTTTTTACTTAGTTAACCATTGAAATGGGGGGGGGCTTGGTTACTGTTTCGTCCTTCAAATATATATATATATATATATATATATATATATATATATATATATATCATTATTGCACTTTGATAGACCTATAATTTTTTGAGTTATAATGGGTAAACGTAGACCAGTATGTATCACACCTGTTGGCTAATTATGTTTTGTTAGGCTTCCGGTTAATTTAAGGAACGCTGAATATTTCCATTATGCTTTATTTTGATTGACTAATCAATATAGTCTATCTTCTCTGATGTGACATTTACCTTAAAAAAATGACCATCTTTTTTGAAATTTCCATCCCATTACTGAATATATTAATTCAAAAAATCTTGAAAACTCTGGAAATTATGGTATACATCTTGTAGCCGATCTGACAGAATGCAATTAACAGCATTCTGTGTTCAATTTTTTCCAATGTCAAACAAGCCCAATAAACCTTTTCCTTAGGATAAGACAATTTTCATCATAATTCTTCAAGTGAAATTGGGTGATTTTTTTAGGGGACAATTGTTTAATTAGTTCAGATGTCATTCTGCATTGATTGTTACTCTGTGCAAGATTATGTAAATGTCAAGATATTTTTTGGAGTAATCTAAACAAATATGAGTGAATAGCGACAAATTGCGATGAAAACTTAGTCGTTATTTAAAACTACTAACCACTCATTGAATTCTGTTCATAAATATCTTTGTTACTACTGATTTGTTAGTTTCCACTTTATGTATAATTGGTTGGTTCTTTTATGTGTGATATGTTGTGATGGTATTTGTAATAATTCCTTTTTGAATCATGTTATGAAACATAATGAAAGTGCAATATTTACCCTTTAAAATCTTTTATTTCAGTGTGCATTGGATTCCGAAGAAAACGAAGATACACAGCTAACGGTCGCTGGTAAAACCCAAAAACCTGAAAGTTCTACTGCCTTTCAACGATCACCTGTCTCCAAACCTGTTTGTCCTGTTCAAGAGGTTCAACGCAGAAGAGGTCGGCCACGAAAGAAAAACCAATTGTCACCTAAATACTCATCTAATTTCAGTCCGCAAAAAGAGACGTTTGGTTTTGAAGACTCTTTAGTTTCTACAGAATCTAGTTCTGAAGATGATATGTTTAAGACGAATGATGTTAGTTCCCGCGTAAGCACATATTTTATTATACAGTTATTGACTAGAAGAAGTCTAGCAATCAGTGGTACACTCAGTTTATATATTGACATTACCTATTAATATTGAAGTTTAGTAAAAACTAATTTTGTGCATGTGTTTATTGTGTATTTAGAAATGTATTGTCAGATGTGTTAATTGCATTAACTCCTAAAGCTGGATTTAATTTTTCATTCTACAAATAAATTGTTGCGTTATTTATCGTCATACCTAAGTGATCTCATGTCAGTCAGATCGTTTTTTACATTATATGTACCATGGGTAAAAGTATTTAAGCTACTAGTCATTATGTGGATTTTCAAAAGTTAGTACACAACTGTATTTTCCAATAAGCATTTGTGTTTATCTATTTTTTGAATAAATATTCTAACAATGGATAACCTTATACAATGATATTTTCCTTACTTAAAGGATTTCTCTACTTGTGATAATATCCCTTCAAAAGTTAACCAAGTGAATCATCAATCAAACACCGATTGGTCTATATTACGCGCATCTTTGGAGTTTCAGCCTTCAGATTTTACTACTATTCCTTTGACGTATAACTCTCAACCTTCTGGAGGTTCACGTAGAAAGCAGAATCTTGGTGGCTTATGCAGAAACAATATGGCCTTGTCAACTGTTGATCAAATTAATAAATATACATCATTTCCAGACACTGATATTCCTCAGAAAATGAGTTTAATTTCTGATCACAGATATCCTTTATACCATTCTCCGGGATTTCCTGCCTCAGTAAACGTAAATATTAGTTATTTTAAACTCTTGTTATAAATTTAAATCCCATGTACTTGCAATTTAGGAAGCCTAATGAACCAACGTAATTTGTGCTGAAATTTGGTAAACGGGATCTCCACTCACTTGTCTGCCAAACGTTATTCGTGATTTCATATTTTCTTTATCTAATGAGCCTCGATCAGGTTTTTTATTCTTTCCTCAAGTTTGAACTGTATACCGCGTACCATTTAAACTTTTCTGAATAGTCGAAGCAAAATATTTACCCGCAGGTTTTGGATTTTCTCACGAAATGTCTACAGCTTGGTAATGTAACTATTAGCCTAGTGCAACTGATATACGGATAGGATATACCTACAAGAATTCATACATATGCTATATATATATCATCCATATACGATAGTTATCTAGTTCTTGCTTCAGCATTCTGGACTGACACGGTAAAAATTACAAATTAATTTCATGCATATTTCTAGCTATTATCTTTCGGTTTTATCGTATATGGTGTATTTTCTGAACTCCATCATGCTCTGTAAATTACAGGAGCGTTCATATGGTTATTTACCATAATTCTTGTTTTAGAAATCTGTTGTACTGAAATTTTTGTTTATCTCATATGCTAACATTTGATTCTTCCTAGGGTGTAGAGTAGTAGAAATGTATGGTCTGTTGATTCGTGTTCCCGTACATAAACCAATGAACAGCAAATTTATGGAAATCTTCCATATCATTTATGTGTGTTGTACCATACGGTCATGTTCTGTAATATTACGTACAAATATTTGTGTAACTTACATATTTTACCGTTTTATTCACTTTAGTCAAGGGATCGTGATAACTTGAAGCTATCTGAAAAATATTTAAAGTCTGATGATTTAGATGGAGAAAGTACGGATGGTGCTTCAATGGAATCTGTAGATATTGTAGAAGTAAGTAAACTGAAATTTTGTTGCTTATATTAAAATTTTTACAGACTGTGGAGTGTAAATATATGTGGCCTGAATCCCTCCTCACTGAGCATAATTATTTTCGTGTTCCTGAAATCGGATCTGTTATTCACTATCGATCTACTAGGAAAGTAGCTAAACACAATTTAAAGTCAAAGGATAGTTTCGTCGACAGTCATTTGACCACAGCGGACAAACTACGAAAACGGTCTTGGCCGACAGACCCTATGTACATTAGTGGTGACGTCAGTGATGATGATTCCCATGGTTCTTCCAAGTGGTTCAAACTGTCGAAGCGTTCGAACGTTTCGGAGTTAAGGAATGAAGAGGTCCCTGGAAGTTGTAAAGCTGACTTAAAAGCTAATAAGCTTTTGACAGATGAGAATAAGAAGCCGAAGTATATTAAAGCAAAACCTGAAACTTCGAAAGTTCGTGGGTCACGTGAACTGGCTAGTCTTTTAGCACCAGTACCTAAATCTGAAATTCGTCGTGTTATGGGTGAATCTTGCGGTCTACTGAAAGAAGAAATGTACAAACGTATGTCTGGAGAGCGAGGTTTTTCTCGATCACAACCACATTTTCAACCAAGGTCGGCATCTGAAGAAGATTACGTAAGTATATTTTATCCATTTGTAGCTTCTTTACATAATAAGTACGTTTAAGTTAGATTTCTTTTGATGCTAAAACTTATGACTAATTATTAAGATATGTATGCCCTGATATTGTCGAGGGTGGGAAAAATCCCCTTTTACTCTTGAAATGTTCATACAACTGTGAGTCTAGATTATCAAGATACCCCTGCTCGTTGCTTCCACGAAGCGGGGGTCCAAATGACGTGAGAGCAAAGACCGGGTCGGTACGCACTGCATGTTTGTCGAAGGCAGTTGCAAAACCCTAATTCGAAACTAACTGCAAGTGACCTCGAAAGTCCAAAGGCGTGAGTCGTTTATATGGTTATTTGGTCGACGGCTACTTTGGAATTCTATATCCTGATGTATCAGAGCCATCACACATTTCATGGTAGTTATGAAGAAGACGAAGAATACGCACTGTTTGCTTTACATGCTACAACTCAGAAGTGTTAACAATTTATGGTTCTTTTATTCTAAAAACATTAATTTTATATTACTTTGAATCTCTGCGCTTCTTTTTCTAATGTCGTCGATTTTTTTCTTAAGTTAGTTTTCAACTACTACTCAGAAACTCTGAAAATGTTTATGCATAGTGTTTTAAGTCTCCAAATAGTTGCTCTTTAGAAACTTACTTAGTGTGATATCACTTTTCTGAAATCATATTTACTGTTTGAGCTTGTTACCATTAATAGTTGCTGTATCAGCATTTGCAATTCATCCTCGACCTGTTACTTCGTTAAGTACTTTCTATGTGAGCTCGTTTGAGCACCCTGTTTTATTATTATTGAACACTTCTGGCGTTGATCCCAAACTAAACGCATGGGATAAAGTACTAAACTAATAGAGCTTCATTACTGGCCGTACTTTTAAGCTAAAAGTGTAAATCAAATAATTAACTGGGATAGGAAACAATGTCTGTTTTATTTCCACCCATGTTTCAGCGAGTTATCGCAAAGACGGAATCAGGAATGAATTCTGTCACAGATTGAATAGCTTCAACCAACCATCTTTCAGTCAACTACTGTTGGCACTTCCACCTTTTTTACATCTGTTTGGATCAAGCTTCCCAGAAGTTGTCTATAAATTTGTCATTCTAAACAAATCGGTTTAAGCTAATTTATAGAACCTACGTTTTCCGCCAAATATCCAACCCACTTGGGTTATAGGTTAGGTCTCCAGCTACTAAGAAGCGTAAATGAGCGTTGTGTACTTTGGAAGGATGAGTGAAGTTTCATTCCTCTTGTAAGTACTATGTTTCTTACAATGTGTGGCTGATGAAGTTCAAAACCCGATTCATATAAAGGAATGTGATTTCACTGGTATACTGTAAAATGCTTTGTATCAGCAGTGTCTAGCTGTCATTCTGAATTTATTAACTATCGGCGGATTGTAATTGGTCGTTGTACTCGTTTTGGTTTACCCCTGAGTCAATCTTATTGGTTCGGAATTTCGCATCAGTAAAGCTTGATCTATCGTGTTTCACCCTCGTAATAAGTTACACTAGACTCATTATCTCAAATAATTTTTTTGTTCTCCAATCCAATGTCGATCGACTGTAAGTGTATATACAGTCAAATGTCGTCAGTGACCTAATTTACAGCTCAATAACAGTACAGGTTCGATTTTCAAATCACATCGATTTATCTAAACTCCGTCATAAATGGTAGTTTATAGTAACCATGTTTCTGACCATTTCGTAGTATCAATAAAAAATCTTTTTCCCTAAATACCCTATTTCTTGTACATATGGATTATTTCGTTATTTTTGTGTATTCTTTTTGGATTGTATTTCTCACAGATCCTGAGGAGTATTTTCGTTTTTGGTATAGATGCAGAAGATCTTAGTTTTATGTGTGAAGCTTATCAGTTTCTGCTAAGTAAATGCCACTCACCATTAGATATCAATTCACATGATAATTCCAAACAAGACAATTATTATATGAACGCTAAAGTCGTTGATCCTCGTGTTGTAAATATTATAAACCTTTCACACTGGGTTGAACATCCGCCTACCCTTGCCGCTGATCCCATTACTGTCACAACGCACGTTAACAATAATGGACATCTTGTTAATTCACGCAATTTGTGGTCAGGTCGACAAAAGCCTGAGCGTCAACGATATCAAGACAAATTATTGTGTTCTAAAAATTCCACATCCAAATTATCTTCTGTTCATCATAAATCCTTTGCACGATCATCTGATTCAGATGACCTTAATTCCTCTTTATCTGATCAACCACTAAATTACTCTTCTGATGAAAAACACAAAAAGGATTTGAGCAACAGCTCAGTATGTAAAAAGGAATGTTCTCCCACTTACTCACCTGTAAATACTTCATATAATCACAAACTAAGACTCTCCTGGCCTAAGTTTGATGACCAAATACTGGCAGTAGCGAATTATGCCGCTTCCTTAAATGAGAATGTTGATGCAGTTGGAGATAGTGTTGATATTCACCTTGGTCCTGCAGCTTGTTTACCGCCAATCCATTCATCAGGTAATTGTTACTCTTAATCCGTTAATTATCTGTAGAATTTATAACATTAAAGACAAATGATTATTTTAAACATCTAATTAGGATATTTGAATAATCATTTTTTGGAGTAACATTTACTACGAGAAATGCATAAATGTTACCAAGTTTTCGTCTCATGATTTTTAAGTTTCACAGACTGAAATACGATCTACAGTTGTAACATCCAATGTTATAAAGCTTGCACTAATTATCAAGAGTCTGAGGTGATAGTTCTCCATATCATTTTGACTAATATATAGTATTCAAATAGTAGTAACTCCGTACTTTCAGGCTATAAGAATATTGTATGATTATTTTAAATAATCATGTCGTGTAAAGTTTGTTTCATAAGGTTGTTTATCGTATGTTATCTACTTTGAATGAAATGTGTAGTTGATAATTTATGCCAACCAAACGTAGCACTCAACTAATACAGTCTTATTTTAATGAGATGAATTTAAATTTTAGTTTTTACCTTATAATCTGTTTGTACTAATAAAATACAATATTTAACATAAGTGGGTAAATTGGTGGGCCACCTATTTTCGTAACCGTTACTGTTTAAATCAGGATAATTTAGTGGGTTTTAAGTTGTCATAGAGATATTCACGAATATATCTCACTAAGTATATATCACAGTCCGTAATAAAATCTAAGTAAATCGCTTATAATCAGTACATTTTTGTGACTATTGTTTAGTCTGTTGTTGGTTCGGTACCGTCATATCCGCCCATAAACATTCCAACATCGTGATCGCAAATTATTTTGCTTTGTACGGTCTTGACTTTTACTTGCTTACTACAGGGTCAGCTCGAACACAAGGCTATTACCGAATGCCTACCGAGGAAAGATTTCGACGTCCTTGGTGTGTCGGTCGGAGTTTAATTGGAGAAGACGGTCGTCGTCGCCCTATTCCCTTAATGCCTGCAACTGTACAAGCACAGCTTGGAGGTGATGCAGCATTACAAGGTACCCATCATTTTTTAACAATTTTTTTGTATATATTTCAGTTACAGAGACATCCTTCCATGGTGAAAAACTATGTAATCGAAGATTCCCTTAGTTAAACCTTCAGACTCTTGTATTTACGAAATAACACAATCAATACATTAAGCACTTGATAAATACAGTTCAGTAAATCGATCTAAAGAGGTTTCAAATGCTATAGAGAGGAGAATGATCCATCAGGTTTGAGTACTTCTTATCCTTAATTAACGTAGGCTGGACAAACATTAGGAACCAAAAGTCACCAAACTATTCTTTCATCCCAATTATTAATTCATCTAGGTTATTATATCTCCACTCTCTTTTCTTTTTGATACGAACTCAGACCAAATATGCTGATAGTCATCTCTTTTTTATAAGATGATTACCCAATAAGCCTTAGACATCCACCTCCTTTACGTCAACAAGTCTACGACCTAATTGTTGTTTACCTGTACATCTTAACATTTTATCTAGGATTCATCTCACTTATATTATCTATTACTTAAGTCATGTTATTTCATGCATTATGTGATTCTTTATGTTATTATTTATCGCATTATCTGATATTTGTATGTATTTCTATTGTTCGTTTAGCAATTTCACTTAATCTTCAAGTAAATTCAAGTATACACTACATGCAATTCATTTCAGTGTTAAGAAATGCTTATTAACTTATTTTGCTAGACATCGTTCGCATATTCTAAACTAGACAGTCCCATTTTGTACTTGAAATGTTAGCTTACAGAATCTTGTTTTTCAGTTATCAGCTTACAGTAATACCTTGAATTTTGCTTTCGTAAGAAACATGTACTTACATTTCAATACAGGTCTTTGCTACTACTTTATTTTGGAAAATGGACAAGGTATTTTGCAAATTGATAGCAGCAATTTTCAAACTTTTCTAATATTTCCTTAAGAACTCTGTTGTTTTTTTGTTATTTTTCAAGTCTAATAACTGTTTCCTTACTCGTTCAATTCTCAGAAGTATGTCATTGATGGGTGTAAAGATCTACTTCAATACATTTGTTCTCTATAGCAAGACCTGACGCTGAGTTAAACTCAGTGAAAAAGACGTGCAAATTATGGTTCTTTTTTTGTCTCAAATTATTTAATAAAATCTATTTAAACATTTAGGGAACTTACATTTCCTGTTTTCTTTTACTTTGGAATTTCGGTACATAGAATTTATTAAGAATTTCTTAGTAGTATATTCAAAATCCGCTGATGTTTTGAATATTTTCATTCTAATGCTTAGTTCACATGTTCAGTTGACTTTATAATGATGGTTGGAGAGTATTCACTAATATTTCTCATTAATTTTTGTAACCGCTACATCAAAAATTATGTCCGACTTTAAGTGAATATATATCACAAACTCAGTGTTGTGTTTACTTTTCTAATTATTCAGAGTACTAAATGTGTGTATTTCAGGAAAAATTATTGTTTCATCCGTGAAATCATAAATAATATAGCCGTATTAAAATATGTACAAAGTTTAGTCAAAGAAACAATCATCAATCATAACTTATCACATTTTGACCAGCAAATAGTACTTATTAACTAAAGTAGTCCTTAGTTCATCATGTCATTACTTTAGACAATTCGCTTATTACCTGCCTTGTTTTCACGATCACAACACACACAATATATGTATTTGCTCTTCATGTATGTCTATATCGAATAACCTATGCAACTTTAAGAAGAAATGTTCTTTGTGCGTACGTTTTCTAAGACATTTTTTATCGCAGTTTGTTTTTCAGCAGACCAATCGGACAATTTGACCTTCGACAAATTAGAGCTTCCCTATTGGTTATAGGTTGTCCTTTAATTTCTAACCAGTAATAAAACACATCATTATGATTAGTGCGTAGGTGGGTGACAATTTATAAAGGTCGTAAGCGGAGAATCTATATGAAGAATTATCGACCTCATTAAAATCAATTTCCAACCAGTGGCTTAGGTCACATGAAATATTTACTGTCTTTTTTCTCACCTATAGAGTGTTAAACTGCATTTATTTATTTAAAAGCCAGTCTGTTTCTTTCGTATATAACATAAATTTGTATATAGAGCAGTTTTTTTGGTAGAGAACTATGTGTGGTTCTAGCCAGTGCAGCAACAATAAAGTGTTTGTTAACTGATAAGTTAAAAATTTCCTGCTTGCAGTTAAAAACCATTATGATCAAATTGGTATATATGCCCTCATTCATGCATTTTGGGTAATATTGCAATTATGTGGTGTATTATTACTGTATTCTTTCCCGATTTTAGTTATTTCTGTGTTCCTAATGTCAGTAGTTATTGATACATTCTCTAGTTTTCCATTGCATAACTCCCATAATTTTCTAAGTAGTGTACATAATTACTGTTAGTTTTCAGCATCTATTGACGTTAATTCACCTTAGTAATAAAATGCACTCTGCTGTAACTTACCGTTATATGAATAAAACATTTGTTAGTTCAATGTATGATCTGAGTTGTTTTTATCTATTTACTTCTTTTCTACGGATTGAAATAACGATTGACGTTTCATCTCATTTATTCTCCCTTTTCTGTCTAAATCCTTATTTACTCTTTTTGTTCTTCATTGCGAAGTTTACCAGCTCGAACTGATGCACTTTTTAAATGGAAAACTTTGATATATGTCTCCTTGCAAAATTTAGTATGATCATTCAGAATTTTTGTCTACATCAACAGCGTTTCCGATGTGATAGTGTGTGTTCGTAAAGAAAATTTGATCCATTAGATTCATCTTACCAGTTTTTAGTTAAATGATATATTAGTACAATATTTTGGTTTTCGGAGATGGTATATGTCTAAATCGTGTTCTAGCAAATATTATTATATGCTCATTATTTAATAGAGTGATAGATAGGTCAAGAGTATTGTATTAGTTCCTTTTAATTTTCCATGTGTTTTTAGACTGAAAACTAGGAAAAAAGTAGTGACAATTATTATAGGGTGACTGTTCTGATTGCGAAAATTAGGAGACTTATAGCAAAGTAAGATCAACATGTGGAGGAACGTAAAAAGAGAACTTATGAGATAATACTATTTGACAGAGCTATCCAAAATTGTGTACGCCGTTGATACTGTGTATATTGACATCGCTTGAACGGTTTTAAACCATGCAAAACTCTTAATCATTGGTTCTAGGTCCCTGCAAAAGTATCTACAATTTTTTTTATCTAATCTAGCGTTGGTTGTATTAGTATAATCACTTTTATCAAATCGCCCTGTTTGCTAGCGATCATAGTATTCTTTTTATCTGTATGATAGGTCTTTAATGTCTTAGTTAGAACTTACTCTTAATTCATTTTAAAAACTGTATTTATATAAAATTACATTTTTTTATTTTTATAATTTTTCTTCATTAAGCTATCGGTGAAAATATTGAGGAACGTTTAACCGAACAAGCATCCGAAGCCAAGAAAAAACAACTCACTCAATTTCGAGAGGCTCGATCTGTTCAACGTCGATTGTTAGCTGAATTTCAAGATATTGAAACTGGCGATTTGCTTAAATTTAATCAGTTAAAGGTAATGTTACTTTGTTATCATTTGGTTCTTTATACTAAACACTTGTCAATCTACTGGTGTTCATTAAGATTAGTTTTTGTTCGATGATCTCCTAGTTTTTCTTCTGTTTATTGACCACTTATTTTCTGCCTGTCAAAAACACTTTTAAATTTAAATCTAGTAAAATGGGCAAGTATTTCATGAGTCTTTCTTATATGTTTCCTTTCATTCTTGTTCACTAATTACTTTTACAATACTCATTTATCGTCGGAATCTGTTATTGAAGATTTATTTTTCATTCCGTTCCGCTTCGTATTTTAGTTTCGTAAAAAGCAACTCATATTCGCCAAATCGCCTATCCATGCATGGGGCCTTATAGCTTTGGAACCAATAGCTGCCGAAGAAATGGTGATTGAATATGTTGGCCATGTGGTTCGTAAGGGTGTCGCTGAGCTACGTGAACATCAATATGAAGCCAAAGGAATCGGTGGCTCTTATCTTTTCCGGATTGATGATGAATTTGTAATTGATGCCACAATGTGTGGCAATAATGCTCGGTTTATCAACCACAGTTGTCAGGTATGCTTTATATGAATGTCAGATTATTTTATCAACTATTTACTTAAGAAATGTCATAACTGATTTATGTAGAGATGTTCAATACTGTTTGTTTACGTTTAATGTAACTGTATTTTCCATCATGTTAATCGTTAACATAGTAATCGATACTGACTAAAGTTCTCACATTCGTCTTTCGATAAATCATATAGTACGTTTACATAAACGTAGTATCCAGTGTAGTGATCATCAATAAACATTTTGTATCAAATACTCAGTACATTTTTTTACTGATGTATATGTTTGGATAGTGATTAGGTTTTGTTGTTCTGCTTATTCATATACTACTCAAGAAATTGTGCGATATATGAGTGATGTTTTCTTTTGACTGTTCCAATATTTTGTTTTTGAAATCCCGAACAAGTGATGCTGGATTTTTTTATTGTGATCACTATATATGTCCATCCGAACGTTGGGAAGCTTTATTTAGTTAATAAAATAAGACATTTTCTGTTGCGTATTTACACGATGACATGTTTTACATTTTATTATATAGTTTATTCACTATGTAGAAGCGCTTATTTTCAAATTTGAGTTCATTTTATGGTTCAGTCTTATAAATATATGTTTTGAAATTCAGGTTAAAATCTTCTAAATAATTGATTCAGTAAATACGAAGTATGGTAACAAAATGTCATTAACAAATGTATAGTTAATTATCACTATAGAAAAAAAATATATGCTTGTGATTGTACATCTTTGTGAATGAATTAGTTGGAAAAAAACTCTTCACTGAATCAATCTTTCCTGTTCTTATGTCTCTGAGATTCCATCTTTATCCGCGTCAGAATACTTTTTATTATCATTCTGAATTTTATTTACATGTGCTGTATTGAGTATTTTCTTGTTTTATGCTTGTACATTTGAAGCTAAAACTAATGCTTACATTTAACTTTTTTCATAGTACTTTTAAGGTGAATGTTATCATTTATGGATATCACTTACTCAGCGTTAATAAGGTCATTTAACTATATTCTCTGTTATCTTATAGATTGGTGTTATCAAGAATGTTAAATATTGGGTCATTTACAGTGCAGATGTAGTCATCTTTTTTTTAAATAACTGAAATCGATAAATCTTAGTTTAAAAATATCCATATTCAGCCGTTCGGTAGGGGGACGGAATTCGCACCCTGATGGTTACTGATATCGATTGTGTTTCTTTTTTTATATGAAACAAAACCAGCGTTTTGTGCTTTGTTGAATAATTTTTACAAAATAAAGATAATTTTATTTTTGTTTCTCATCCCCAGTAAAACACAAACCCTAACATACAGCCAAAACAATATTTCAGGCAGAATAATATCAGTTCATTATATTTCGTGGTTTCTCATCAGCTTCTCACAATCATATATAATATTAAAGTGTAACATCGAGGTATGATATATAATGTAAAGCGATTGGCATTGATAACGGAAAGAATTAAAGTAACAAAGGCTATGAATAATAACTAATATATATATATATATATATATATATATATATATATATATATATATAGTTATTCTTGATAACCTTTGTTACTTTAATTCTTTGTGTCATCAATTTCATTTGCTCCACATTATATACCATACCTCGATGTTACACTTTAATGTTATATATGATTATGAGAAGCTTATGAGAAACCACGAAATATAATGCATTAATATTATTCTGCCTGAAATGTTGTTTTGGCTTTATTCAAATTAGTAAAAAGAACCATTTGTATGAAATCTAACATAAAAAAGTTTCATTTTTAATATCCATGAATATACCTTCCAGAAAGTAATTTGTATGATTATTCTGTTTACGTTTTTGTTTTGTATCTCAGACTTTCTGAAAAATATATACTTAATAAATTACTTATTGATATATATCCAGCTTCGTCGATTCGTTTGAAAAGTTTTAGGTATTCTATTTCTATGTACCTGGTTTCATAGAGGCAGATGGATTGAAAATATTTAAACAAAAATGGTTGCTTGCCATTTGATTTATTTTTCATACATGTACTCACCAGTTTACGACTTGTGACATTGGTTTCTTGCTTCTGTTAACTTTTCTCCAGTAAGTTTCAAGTCTGAACTATATTCCACCTTTAGTTTGCGCATCTAAGTTGTACCACAGTCTCACACAGAAATTGTGACTCAAAGCTGAGTACATAAACTCGTACTTGACAAATAAATTGTATCATTACTTTAAATACCTTTCTCAATAGTCTTCATTATCAGTTGCTGAACCTTTAGAACATCATTTCAAATTCACGCGTAGCTCATCTTGCCGGAACTACCTGGTTGAACTCAAACTAAAATCTACCATGTCGAAAATCAGTCTCTCTTCCAAGTTATTAATACGTCTTTTGTAGAATTTCGACTTTTAAAGGCTAAGTGCAGTACATATGTTTATGGATTCAATATTAAAATATTGATCAACATGAACCCGATGTAGGCGACATCGTTTTGTTGATAGATTATTATCTAATAAACCAATTTCGCTAAGGAAAGATATACACACAGAAGGACATTACACGCTATTGAGAACATTCTTACTACTTTAGGAATGGATTAATTAAGGTATCGTTTTAATTTGTATAGATATTAAATGTTTTTCTTATATTATACTTCTTATTTCTTAGCCTAATTGCTATGCCAAGATAATAATGGTTGAAAGTAAGAAAAAAATTGTTATATATTCCAAAAGGGACATTAACGTTATGGAAGAAATTACATATGACTACAAATTTCCTTATGAAGAGGATAAGATACCGTGTCAATGTGGATCATCATCTTGCCGTGGAACACTTAATTAAGAGACCTACATTTTTTGTGTCAAAATCAGAACAAATGTATATAGATTTGTAAGTAATTATTGCTTCATCTCAAAATCTTTGTATAACGGGAGGATTAGTTATCATTTTCTCACACATTTTTTCTGTATATACATTCTTTTGTTATTTTCCTATGGTGTATGAATCTTGATTGAACTGATTTTTAAAAATACCTTTCATTCATAATTCCAACTAAATATTTGTACCAGATTTGTTTACGAAAGATCATTTTTATCCTCGACAATCCAGACAGCTCTGTGTAAATTTGTCCTCTTCATTTATTTCCCGTAAGCTTGTACTTCTCTCTGACACTGTATAATGCGTTTTTTCGGACATGATGGGTGAGAGGATAGTTTTAAGGAAGTCTCATGTAATTTCAAGAAGTAATTACTTACACCTGTTATCCCTCGTGCAAGAGCATAGGCTGCTCATCAGCGTTCTCCACCGAACTCTCTTCTGGACAATCGTTTCCAGTTGCTATTCATCCTCGTCATATCTGCTTCTATTTCCCGGAATGCTGTTGTTACTTTGCCAATCCTTGACTTTACATCTGCATTGGATACTCCCTGTTCATCGATGATGCTACCCAGATACGTGGAAGTTTCCACTTCTCTCAGAGTTTCTCCAACAAGCGTGGTTGGGTTAGTGCTCTCCTTGTTGTATTTGAGGATGTTGCTTTTTCCTTTGTGCATTTTGAGGCCTACTTATGCAGAAGCTGCTGCTACAGTGGTTGTCTTCATCTGCATTTGTTGGTATGAGATAGAGGAGCTAGATGATCTGCGAAGTCCAAATCGTCTAGTTGCATGCAAACTGTCGATTGTATTCCGTGCATGCCGTCAGATGTGGTCTTTATAATCCAGTCAACGACCAAAAGAAAGAGAAGGAGGGAGAGTAGACAGCCTTGTCTGACTCCGGTCCTTACTTGAGATGCATCTGTTAGCTGTCCTACATGCATGACTTTGCAGTGTGTTTCGTCGTATAAACTTCCTATGATGTTGAGGATTTTCTCAGCTACCCACTCCATAGTGTCGAAGAATTTTCCATAATATTCTCATATCCACACCGTCAAGTGCTTTCTCATAGTTTAAGGGAATTGATGTATAGTGACGAGTTCCAGTCAATCAGCTACAACTTATGACCAGGCACGTACATGCGCTGGTTCAAGTTGTCACAACTAATTAGCATAATAAGATGAACACTACATTCACAGAAATATTTACTTCAATAGTACGAATATGTAAAAAGAAGATTGCATATAATGATAGTGTTATATTCTCTATTGTTCTGACCCAACTATTCTTATTGCTGAATATTCTTGGACACCAATCCACTCGACAAATCTCCAAATCAAAACACGATTGAACAAGAACGAAGTTAGAAGCACATTCTTAGTTTTTACATGAGAGGATTCTAAAGTCTTCCTCAATCATCGACTAGCGCTGATTGGGTAAGAAATAGCCAGTCAACGTGCACCTACACAATCATGCACGAACCATGCTTTAAACCAAACTGTGTCTTGTTAACAGATAAATTATAGGAATAAAGAATTACTCTGTGAAAGTAAAATTAAAGAGTAGTTTCAATCTCACAGTTCAAGAGAAGACAGAGTGTATACACCTTCACCATTGTGATCGATCCTGAGCCACTTCACCCAGAGTCTCCGACCATCGATTACGATAGTCATGCGGACCACAACCAAGTAGTCTGTATCTGCCAACATGGTTAGACTAGAAGTTAGTGACTTCAAGGACTGATGCTACGTTTTGGTCCTGTCGGCCCTAACTTTCTTCCAACCGTCTCCAACACTGGTCAGCATTGCGCGTCGTGGTAATCAATGTTCAGGCATACGTAACATGTGGCCCAACCATCTCAGTCGATGAAGATCCACAGCCTCACCAACTGATTTACAATTATTTCTTATTAGCGTGCTTCTGACCTCACTATTATCTACCCAATGATTCAAGAAAATGCTGGCAATATTTCTAAGACATATGGTGGCAAATATTAGTAACTTACGAGTATCCTCTACTCTTAATGGCCACGTTTCGCAGCCGTAAAATAGAACAGGACGAACTGCTGTGCAGTATACTCGTCCCTTAATTGATAGATGGATATCTCGTTTTCGCCATAGGTGACGTAGGTTGGCAAAAGCCGGACGAGGTTTTTGAATACGTGCTGAGATTTCGTCAGACACCAACTAATTAGGGCTGATCAGACTTCCAAGATAAGCGAAGTTGTCGATGCGTTCGACTACTTTACTCTCTATCCTTAGTTCAGGTGTTGACGCAGGCCAATCCTGGAGTAACAATTTACATTTAGAGGGGGAAAACACATTCTAAATATCCTGGCATTGTTATTCAGTGCTACCAAAATTCGATAAATGAACCTCCTGGTAGGAGATCAGTTTCTGAAAATTTAGTCGACGAGAGTCATATCTCCGTCAGTAGGTCTATAATGAATTCGAACAAAAATGGGGATAGTGGACAGCCTTGTCGGACACTACTTGAGGTTGTGAAAATCAGATGACAGTTCTCCATAAGTTCTGACTCGACTTGTAGTATTCGAGTAAAGAGCCTTCACAAGGTTTATATGCTTCTGAGGTACACCTTTCAATGACAGACACTGCCACAGCCTCTCGGTCTACATAGCCAAATGCTACTTGTAAGTCAAGAAGAACTATCATTTTCGGACGCCGATAAGCATGCCTGTGTTCTAAATCCCGATGAATAGTGAATATGTGGTCGATACAGCCACGACCAGGTCTGAACCCAGCCTTATTTCCTCATGTTTGCAGTTCAGGAGTCTTGGGCTCCTAATAATTATTGAGGCTAGTATTTTAGATTTTGCATTATTATTAACCACAAACCTATTATGGGTACATAAATGTTGTGAAAAAACAATTTTGGATTTCTTCAGAAATGCAATAATACGCAAGTTTCAGTAATGTTAGCATAATTTTTGCCACATTTGAATTAAAAGGAAAAAGTATAATAGCGGAAATAGAATAATAATAGATCAGTTTCTTTGTAATTGAGAGGAATATCGATTTGATATTGAAGGAGAAAAAGAGAAAGTAAGGGGAGATAAATGAAGGAAACGCAAAATAATTAAATAGCATGATAAGCATGTCTGTCAACACAGACCTAGAATAAACGACGATGTGTATCGCCGAAACTTCGCCCTTAGCCACCCTCTTGGGGCTACCGTCAGTTCCAAGTCTGGATGAGGGGTAGACATGGGGTCGACGATCACATCCCGTAGAAAACTAACTCGCTAAAAAACACTAACCAGAAAAAATTATTCAAGCCATTTAAACTCTGTCCTGGGAGTCAGAAGGTCTTCATCTAGAACAGTTACGACGCCTCATGGTGAAATCCGAGTTCCTTCGGAAGTCACGAGAACGATGCCCCTTCTGACAACTAGAGCAATCATTTATCTGGGTTCATCGAATGTTCGCACAATGTGGAAGATCAGAAGAGTCATCCAAATTTCTGAAGAAACGAAAAGATACAACCTGGAGGTGTTTGCGATCACTAAACACATTGGACAACAACGACTATCATCAATGGAGCTTTTGTTATACTCCGGCCATGAAGGAGAAAATGTTCCACATAAACAAGGAGTTGCATTGATGGTGTCCAAACAAGC